CTTTTAGATAATGATATTTTCTGTGTTATCTATATGAACATATGACAAAGTATATTTGTGCTGCTGTGGTGCATAGTAATAGTTGTTGTTGTTGTTGTTGTTTTCATCTTTTTAAGGCTCTACTACAGATTTTGTGTTTTAAGCTACATTTGGTGAAAACGTAGATAAGACTATAAGATTAGAGGGAAAAAACTTGTCTAAGTAAAATGCAGTCTAAAATGGACAAAACAAGATTTAAAGTAGACCTATTAAATTATTTACTTTCGCTCATACAGTATATATGCTACATTAGTGTCTATTCATGTCAAACATAGCTGAAGTTTTAAATAATAAGTACAAAGGATCCCTGTGAATGATGAGCTCAGGGCTCAGGCTGCTGTAAACTTTTGTTTCAGGTTGTTTTTCTGTTAGTGGCTCTGTATAATGTCAAAGAAAGGGCACATTCTAAATATGGTCATGTTAAGCACACTGCTTTCACTGTTAGCAAATCAGCTCCACCCACCTGCTGCTGGAGAGGGGCAGAGGGGCCACCAGTCAAAAGAAGGGCCTAAAGTGACAGTGGCATTAAAGTGAAGCCCAAATGGTTCATTTCGGCACCTTCTTTTTTGCTTTCTTTTGATAAATATATGTATATAATGCCTCCGCACAACAACACTCATTCCAAGGTGCTTTGTATTATAAGACGAAGACGCTGCAGTATTAGAGAAAGAGTCCCACTAACTTGGTGACAGTAGGGAGGAAAGACCTCTTTTTTAGCAGGAATGATATCTGATAGAAGCTAGCTCATGGAGGTACATCCTCTTTAACTGGGGTGGGTGGGTAAGAGCACAGAGAGAGACAGAGGATCAGTGGAAGAGTTCCATGAAGGCCTGGTATAATATAAAGAAGGATTATTTTACATTTTGAATCATGTAAAGCTACTGTCACAACATCCAAACATTAAAACATGAAGCTGGAAATTAACAAAGCATCAGAGACACGATCGAAGAATAAAGTATAGAAAGCAAAAAAGTTGGTCTTTGCACCTGACCTTAAATATACTGAATCCATGAAATAAGTTTGATATCTAGTAGAAAAATTGTACAAATATTTTGTCTTTAACAAAAGTTTTATGCCAATTATTAAACGAATTGTGAAATCGGTTAAACGTGTCCCACAGCATTAACATTGTCTAAAAGAAGGCGCAAATAAAAGTCTGTAAACTATATCATGTACATTCTTGTTGTTTATCTCTTTGAGAATTCCCACGTAAATATTTTTTGAAAGAATCAAGGATTTTAAATGAAAATGAGATGGCACTTTGTCTTAACTGCCAACACCACCGAGCCTTGTGAAATGCACAAATTTTATTAATGTTGATTGTGTGCGCAAGAGGATGAGAAAGGCTGTTTTTGGGAGGAGTGTTGTGGCATTGCAGTGTTGGATGATGGTGTAATTGTGAATGATGTTTCCCCACACCTATGCCTGTGTGCAAGTATGACAAGAGATTAATAGAGAGCAGATAAATGGGAGAAACAAATCCTAAAATGGCTCGCTGCAGAGTAATGAGCTAAAGACTTCCGCCGTCTGCGTACATCTTCCTCATTCAGCGTGAATCTGCAGCAGGGGTTGGGGGCAGGAAACCACTGAGAAGTGAATAGATAAACAACCCAGAAATAGAAACCAGGACCTGTGCTGTGCTCTCTCTCTCTCTATCTCTGTCTTTTTTTTTCCTCCTCGCCATGTAGGTCACCTCCTCTGCTCATTTTTTTCCCTCTCTCTCTAATGAATCATCACCGCTGACAGCCACGCGGAGAATGAAAGATGTGTCATCCTCCCTCTTCTGCTTTTCGACAGCTTTTGTTTTGGTCAAGCTAAAAAAAAATTCATCTGTGCATTTGTTCTTTCTCGCAAAAAACCCACACGCGGTATGACACAAGCTCCCCATTGCTTGATTGTAACCTGTTCCCACGCGTGTTGGAGTCGGACTGACGCAGCTCAGATGATGGCTGGGTGTTGACAGGAAGCAGGAGGAGTGACAAGAGTAGGCCTGAAACTTGTGGCACAATCACCTGCTCTAACCACACGGTGTAGCAAGCTATGACTTAAAATACATGTCAGTTACATTTACTGGGGGGGGGTGCACCCAGTTCCCAGCACCGTTTACTTTATGTAGAAGATATAGGTACACACTAGTGTTTTTGAAGGCTGCTACTATGTTGAGGCACTTCATGACTCAGTGCTTCTTCAATCCTTGCTGCAGTGTTACCAGAACATTAGTGCAGTCTACTACACTGAATGATAGAGGCTCAAAAGAATAAAGAAAGGCATACACTGAGCGGTAACTTTGTTAGGCTCATTCCAGGCCCTGTGTTTGTGATTCTTTCGCCATTGCACATTAGATATCAGCACGATCTTCAGACCTGGCAGCGTGCTGATTGTGTTTAGTCACAGGAAGGCATGCTCCCTGTGCTGTGCCCCAGAGCGTCTGGAAACATGATATTTATCTGTCTTTGTAGAGACTCACCTGAGCCAAATGTCAAGATGCAGAAGGAAGTAGGACCATTTTTTTTACCCCTTAATGAACTGTTGTGATATCCTCTGTCATCAGAATGAAAAACAATCAGTATACAGATAGAGCGGAACAAATTCCGGTCTGTCACACGCACATATTTGGCACCATTTTAGAGAAAGCAACCGTGGATTTTTCGAGAACCAATGCTAAAACTATTTTCTTTTTCTTTCTGATCACAGGTGGATGGACAAAAGGAATCCGGTTATTGGACTGAGGCACCAAACTGTTACCACTCTTTCTGCTTAGCTGGGACGACTATCTGAAAGTCCAAATAAACCACCCTTCACTCCCACCTCCGAGGAATTCAGGAGCCTTGGAGATTTAAGGAGTCATTGCAACAGCTTTTTTTCCTTTTCTTTTTTTTTATGGCACCTTCCAATAAAAGGCCTCCTCGCTACTTCTTATCACTGAGCCAGTTCAATTCAACTTTATTTATATAGCGCCAAATCACAACAACAGTTGCCTCAAGGCGCTTACAAGGGTCACACAGGGTCAGCTGACCTGGACCAAGAATTTATTCTTTCGTTCTCACACACTCAAGTTGATGTGTAACACATCCGCAGCCAAAAACAGGAAGCTAAGCAAGGCTGAGCAAGAAACATATCTAAAGCCTTAGCAGGGCACAGGATATCGTTTCAGACAATACCTCGTGGACCTTTCTGAACTGCCTGTAATCCAACCCTCCACTAAACCTGTACTGTATGTGTACATGTGAGAATCTGTGTGCATATGAGATTATTTATCAGTGTTTATCTCTGTGCTGAGCAGTTCTTGTGAGTGAATAGCCATCAGAGACAGCAGAGAACCATCAGCATAAGTGAGTTAAAACAGCAACAACAAAAAAAACTACCTTTAAGTAGTCAACACTGGTCCGATACTGTAAGCTGGACTGTTAAGTCATCTGTACATATTAGCTGTGACAGAATAAGAGCTACAGATTGTGGTGCTCTGGCAAAGCTCTCCTATCTGTCTCCACCTCATAAAGACTCAGGCTGACAACAGTGCCCACCAAGGGGAGGGTGTGGGGGATCTCTGAGGGAAACATGGAGGGAACCATCCGTCCCCATGTCCCCTCTAATGGCTGACTTCAAAAAAGGAGTCTAATCTTTTTTGCCGTCGCACAGAACCAGGCAGAGTTGTCTAGCGCTGATAAGAGCCATTGCTCCTCTCTTTCCCACCTCCAAAACCGTGCGAATGTCCTGCCTCAGGCGTCAGCCCGTGACCATCCCGATGGACACCGTCAAGATCATCCAGTCTGAGAAGTTTCCCAGAGAGTGTCCTGTGCCCGTCACCCAGCCACGCTATGCCCCGCCCCCCAGAGTGGCGTGGGACGGTGGAGGTGAGGGTGAGATCATCGTCAACCAGGCCTGCAGCGACCTAACTCTGGACATAGCAGGGTCTCCCAGGCCGATGGTGTCCCCCCCGGCCCCCGTGATGCGCAGGGAACAGAGCTTCCTGGCGCAGCGAAAAACCAGTGCCAATGAAATCTGCTACCACCAGTTCCACTACAAGATGGACGACGTCATAGTCAACCAGTACGTGCTACGTTCCTCTTCCACCTCCTCCTCCTCTTCTTCCTCCTCCTCCTCGGGACCCGTAATGCCCTGCGAGCCCCTGGATTGCCCTACCTGTGGCCACACATACAACTTCGCCGGGAAGCGGCCGCGCATCCTCTCCTGCCTGCACTCAGTGTGCGAGGAATGCCTGCAGATCCTCTACGAGTCGTGTCCCAAGTACAAGTTCATCTCCTGCCCCACGTGTCGCCGCGAGACAGTGCTGTTCACTGACTATGGCCTGGCTGCTCTGGCCATCAACACCAGCATCCTGAGCCGCTTGCCCTCTGACCCCAACGGGCCCGTGCAGTGGGGCGGGGACGCCGACCGCAGCTGCTACCAGACTGTGCGTCAGTACTGCCAGTCAGCCTGCACCTGTCAGATTGCCAACCCCTTGTCTTCCTGTGGCATCATGTAGACAAGGACGGACACTGCAGGCATGACTTGACGCTGCTCTACCACCACCACCACCATCACTCCTCGTCTATAAGCTCTGCCTGTTCTGCCAATTCCCTCCTTCACTCACACATACAGTAAATAAAGCCCTCCATAGATGTTATCTATATATATTTAATAGCACAGATGGATGCTGTGTGGGACTAATGGATGCCGGTGGTTCAATAAATAGTAAATAAATGTATTTTATGTATGGACTGGAATCCTGTTCACCCTCTCTCGTTTGGTTGGACGTGTTTGTCTTTGTTGACATCTCTTTACATGGGAATGCCTGGGGAGGTCCATCTCCCCCAACCTAGGTGAATAAAGATTATCTAAATGAGAAAAAGTACCTCTGTGTGGCCTGCACTTGTTGGGTGGGAATCATAGGGTACTCACAATACTGACTTTTAAGTACAAAAAAAGAATGCTAAACCAGTTTCTTACAGCATTCAGATGAAAACCCCAAAATTGGATTAAAAAGTGTAAACTTTTTGATAAGCAAGGAAATTTTAAAGGCAGTTTTAGCCCATGAAACCCTTGAATTGAATAGTTAAAGTTTCTAAGTAGTGAAAATCAATTTACTCCAAATCTGAAATAGCTGATTCATTAAGTTCAACAGTCCAACAGCAACTGATGAACAATACATTTGGCAGTTGGTTAAAATCTTCCACATACTGTAATGAGTTGGTTCAAGTCTGTTCTGAGTTTCCTAAAAACTTACTGGACGGTTTATTAGGTATACCATGTTAGTACTGGTTTGGACCACCCTTTATTCTTTGTGGTACAGATTCAACAAAGTGGTGTAAACATTTCTCTGAGATTTTGTTCCATTTAGCATGATACCATCACATAGCTGCTAAAAATTTGTCAGCTGCACATCCACGAGCTTCTTATTTCTAAAAGTGTTCTACTGGAATGAGATCAGGAGTCTGGAGGCCAATCCCTTGAGGTGGTGTGAGATTTGGGACATGGTTAATTATCCGGCTGGAAGCAGCCATCAAAAGATAGGTACACCGTGGTCATAAGGGGATGGACAGCAATAATACTCAGATGGGTTGTATTGTATTTCTGTAACAATACAGAAAAAACACTATTACACCGACACCAAAAGCCTGAACCAGTCATACAAGTGAAGATGGATCCATGTTTTCATGTTGATTATACCAAATTCTGACCCTACCATCTGAGGGTTGCGGAAGAAATCAAGAGTCATCAGACCAGGAAATATTTTTCCAGTGGTCTGTAGTAAATTTGCTTCAAGGTTCCATATGTTGTATGTTCAGAGATGCTCTTTGGCACACCTTGGTATTAATATGTTGTTGTTTATGTTGTCTTCCTATGAGGCCATTCTTGTTTGACATATCCTGTGGTCAGAGAACTGCTGACCACTGGATATTTTCTCTTTACTCTTTGTAAACTCTGGAGATGTTTGTGCTGAAAAATCCTAGTAGATCAGCACTTTCTGAAATACTCAGACCAGCCTATCTGGCACTAACAACAACACCATGCACGTAAGTCACTTAAATCACCTTTCGTTCCCATTCTTCTGCTGCTTGGTTTGAGCTTCATCAGGTTGTCTTGACCATGTCTACGTGCCTGAATACAGTCCGTTGCTGCCATGTGATTAACTGATAAGAAATGAATAAGTTGAGTCTATGAAAAGGTCACTGAGTGTAACCCTTGAACTCCTGATGATTAAAAATTCTAAATAATAAGAAGGAAAAAAGCAACATTGTTTAAACTGCACAGTCTAAGGTAGGTTTTCACATTAAGCAGAAACTCTGTGTTATGTAATCATGGTTCTTCTTAGACATGAACAACATGAACTTTGTGTTGTCAAATTACAAGAAGACAAAACTCTGGAACTTCTGTGAAGTATTTTCATCATTCCTTTATTTGACATTTGCAGTATAGCCTGCTTTAATTGTTAAAAACAGTAACATAGGACATTTTTGTTGTGCTAATTGTAAATAATGAGAGAACCACTTAACCATTTACTTCCCAGTCAAATAAACAGTATTGAAATTGCCTTTATTTGTCAATATAAATTTTTAAAAAGCAAGTAAACTTTTTACATTTATATAATGCAGCACACTGGTGCATAAAGGGATGAATAGGAAGTAGTTTTGAAAGCAGTTAAAGTGCTTGTAGTTTTGCAGAAAAGCCTTTTCTCCTCAGAATCTCTAACATCAAAACATCAAGCCAGACACTGTGGTCCATTTATACAGTTTTGTCTTTCCTCTTGAACAGTTGGCTCAGCCTTCGACGGGTCGAGTTTTTCTCAGATGGCTGCATCTGTTGGCTTTAAAAAATTCATTAGAAAGAGATGAAACGAGTCAACGTCAGAAAGTGGAGGTTGCGTTTGTGCTGCGTTTCATGAAAAAAAGAACAAAATGTTCAAGAGGAGCAGATGCATCGTCTGAAAATCAACACCAAAAATCTCACCAAAGCCTCCTTATCGATGATCCATTACCTGTGGACCACTGCATCAGTGTATAAATAACACAACTCACCTCCTTTTATATGAAGCATTAGACCCCTCTCTTCTCAAGGACAGGAGTTTTTTCCTCCAGTTCATTATAGGTTTTTTTGTCTCCTTCTCTGTGGATTCCTGAAGAGGAAAAGAAGATTAAGAGTACATTAATAAAATAACATATTTCTCATCACTTATAATTCATGATATACACATGTATTTTTTCTTATTTACTTCTGATGTTCTACCTGATTTTCTTGGACTTCCTCAAGCTCCTCCAGCAGGTCATGTGTACTCATATGCTGCCCTCTCCAGCCTGCATTCACTTTTTCTGCAGCAGGAACACAAATAAGGCTTCATGATCACAGAAAGTACACATTCTATTCAACAAATGGACAGAAATACAACCACAAGAAGTAATCAGGCTTTTTTTTAAAAACAACAGTAGGATGATAACTCACTTAAATGCATCATGGCAAGAGTTGTATCTGAAGCTGATCTCTGCCGAAAATGTCCGTATTTCCGCTGCTTGGGTTCGCTGCTAACATGCTCTACATTTACTGTATCTTCAAGGCTTTGACAAGTGGTTAAGTCCTTCTCTGCAGTTACAGAGTCAGTCTGACAGATGTCAGGAGTCTAAAAGAAAAAAAAGTGAGCTTTTTAATTCATATAGGTCTCCAGATTGCAGGATAATTTGTCATCACTAATCTGACAAACTCGTGTCAGTTTTATTACCTGTTGAAACTGTTACGAGTTCTTAACTGTGAGACATCATAGAGCCTTGAAGGGACTGTTGTTGTGATTTGGCGCTATATACATAAAATTGAATTGGACTGGACTGAATTGAATTCATACATTAAGAAATGAATGACGTTACCTGGCTCACTTGGAAGACTTTGTGTTGCACGAGGACGTCTGCCTCCATCTGTAGCGCTCGGTTTTCCATCTGCTGTCTTGCAATATCTTCTAGCTTCTGACACACCTGCTCCAGGTAGATGAACCCAGGACTCAGTTCTTTTATCTCATTGCAACCAAAGCCCTGCAAATGTCAAAGAGCAAATCAAATGTTAACTTAAAAATCCTGCTGTTTTGTTACAAATACACTTCGCACATGCAAGGAAATTTTGTGCAGATATTACTTCTGGGAGTGGGAAACTCTTCCATGATTCCCCTTTTTTTAAATTTAGCACCACTATGAAACATACCTGTTTAAAACATCTCAACACTTTATTTAAAAAACTCCAACAACAACTGGATTTTCTGTCCCGCAACCCCTGCAAACTTGATTACAAGCTGTGAAGCCAACATTTGCACATGCCAGAAATTTGAGTCAGTACCTTTTATTAAAACAGGTGTCAAAAGATGAAACAGCTGCGGCAGTCATACTATCAACCTTTTCATTTTACATTATAATGCTTCCTCTTGGCCACGAGGCAGAGTGGCTAATTGCCAGCAGAACTGGCTCTGACAGTTCCTGTCACAGTTAAACTGATTAACCTGCAGTTCTGCCGATTAACGAAAATCCCACTTTTTGTGCAAAATGTATGCGATTCTCTGCAAAGTTTTTACATAGCGCCTTCTTAGGGGCCTAATTTCACCATGCCTGTGGTGTTTGGAGCTAATTGAGTGTGTTAGCATGTTAAATGAAGCAATATATCATATTACTTTTTCAAGTTATTAAGTTCAGATGAGTTGAGATGAAAACCTAACAATGGAAATCACAACCTGTTTAGTTAGAATATCCACATTCATCTGACTGACACATTCATACGCATCTGATTGCATGTAATTAAAAAAGTATATAGTTATGTAGATGTGACTACTTGGCATTAAGTAGCTTCCTTGTATTGCATTACCCAAAGCTATTTAACCTTGGCCAAACGAATACAAGAACAAACTTATGACACACACCCAGTGGCTAAAAACAAAGCATTGTGAACTAAATGCTTTCAAATGGTTCAGGTAATCCAGTTGTTTCTTCACCTTTGTGCACTGTCAGCGTGAACTGGTTTTCACATTTTTTGAGAATTGAATCCATTCATCTCAATCTTGTACACCCAAAATAATTTTCCAAAACAAGACATTTTTTCTGCCCTCTGATTAACGAAATATGTCTCACATTCTGAAAAAAAAAAGACCCACAGACTTCTCCCCACATGTCCTATATCCATTCTTCACATGCCTGCTAACTGGGCAGACTGGTTTATGAGCCCATGCGCAGACGACAGTCTTGTGAAAGTTTGTTGAAAGAGATCTTGTCTGATTAATGACATGCAAGCCTTACTTTGAATATGAAAGCAGCTTTCTGTGTTGCAACCCTCCAGGAAAAAGTGGAGGGCCTGTTAAACCTCTTGTACAGTCTATCAACCGTTCCTCTAATGTCTGGCTTGTGCCGTGCAAGATGGTACATGTAACCGTGACTAAATTATGTCATCCCGAAACTGGCCCCAGAAAAGCACAAACAGAAACCAAAAACAATATTTAAGTGATAGAGCATTACTATGGAAAAAACACAAAATCTTAAGAGATTTAAAGCTTGGTTCATGATAGAAGAGCTTCTCACCTCTGATGTCCGCCTGTTACTAATCATAGACTGAGTCCGTCTGCACATTTCTGACACTGGCTGAATGGAAACAGGTGGACTGACTGTCCTTCTTTCGTCAAGTCTGTCTGATCTTTGACCTCTTACTAACTCCGATGTGTGCCGTTTGATCGGAAAAGACGCTTGAGGTCGCCGACTGAGCATTTCTTCTGGTGTCAGGGGCTTTGAGTTGCCCTTTGAATACATAGAATCAGTCCTTTGTAACACTTGCTCTAATTTAAGGTGCGAGGCAGTAGAGTCTTTCTGAGTGCTGCTGGAACATAGAAGCGGGGATGAAGAAGGGCAGCAGGTGGGCTTGGGAGAGGAGAACACAGGAGACTGCGATGTTAATGCTGGAGTGAGATCTTCTTCTATTTCTGTTGAGGCAAAGGACGATGTAGCACGAAAACATGTGTCACAGCTGGCCGTCTCCACTCCAGAGTCCACTGATTCTGAGCGCCCGTTTGTTTCCATCTCTGAGGAAGGTGTTGGAGGGTCTTTAGCATTGCGCTGAAACCACTCTGAGTCAGGACTTGTGTCATCAGTTACCCAAGTCTCCATGAGGTTTCCAAAGCTCTTGTACAGATTCATGCTTGTTTCGTCCCTTGCACCTGTGCTGCCAGGCTGAAAGAGGAAAATAAGCGAGGCACCAGCTCAGACAACCCACGCAGTCATTTGCAGAGATGAACTAGAATTCACAACATGCCTTCTGATTCGCCTGTGCGCCTTCACCACGCCCATCCCGGTCACAGCTTGCAGCTGCATGTTGATACCTGCTCCTTCCTCGCTAATTACTTGGAAAAGAAGGTGACTCAGATGCAATGCAGCTGAAATATTGCATTTGTCCTCACACCTGTAACAACGTCCAGAAAATGACATGAGCAAGCCTCAGCATGGCCACACATCTTCAACCTGGGAATCGTGTGTAATTACAGGTGAAATAATAATAATAATAACATGCACTGAGCTTCTAAGAAAGTGAGGTAGAAACGAAGGAATGCTGATATTTAAGGTAAATCGTATAAGTGCTGCCATTTATGTTACCCCCACGAGATAAAAGTGGAAACATACTGACGTTCCTCAGTGGATACAAAGAGTCCAAGAGGGAAAAGCAAAAGAGCTTGACTGATAAACGCTGCTTCGTCACTTCACAAAACTCAGGTTTATCTGATCCTGTAGGCATGTGCAGCACGGACGGTCATGTCTGCTGCATTCCCCAGGTGAGCGGTGACAGCACGGGTCATCTGAGCAAATGCAAAGGCTCCTTCGCAATCCTGGAAACACTGAACAGACATAATGTTCTCACAGTGGTGTTTGTTGTCATCTTGATAAATATTTTCCTTACTCCAAAACTTCATCACACTCTGTAAATGACTTTTAAGGATACTTATTCAGTCTTTTCAAAGGATTTTAACACACATATATGTGTGTGTGTGTGTGTGTGTGTGTGTGTGTGTGTGTGTGTGTGTGTGTGTGTGTGTGTGTTTTCAAAAATCAGTGTTTCTCACATTGTATTCTGTATTAGTACATTTTTTAATCTAAATGCAGTACTGTGCAAAAGTATTGAGCCACCTCTCATTTCTTTTTATTTTGCTTCCATGAAGCCAGACTTTCTTATCCTTTTTTTTAGCAATTGAGCAATCAATCAATCTTTATTTATAAAGCACTTTTCATACAAAAAAAAAATGTAGCACAAAGTGCTTTACATAGTTAAAAGCAGCGCACCCCACCCTCCAACTCACTCCCCGCACTCTCATTAACATAAATGATGTGAATACACACATATCCCTGAAACACACGGGGAGCCAATGCAGCGATTCTAAAACCGGTGTAATGTGGGCCCGCCCTCTGGTCTTCGTCAGCACACGAGCTGCCGAGTTTTGCAAGAGTTGTAAAGTTGAAATATTCTTCTTAGGAAGACCAGAGAGCAGGGCATTACAGTAATCAATGCGACTGGTAATAAAAGCATGCATCAGCATCTCCGTGTTGGCCCGAGAGAGAATAGGGCGGACTCTGGCTATATTTTTTAGATGATAAAATCCAATTTTGGTTACATGTTTAACATGTGGGATAAAACCAAGCTCAGAGTCAAAAATAACACCCAGGTTTTTCACTTGTAGCGAAGGACATAGTGAAAATGCCTCTAATTTAGACAAGAGTTTCTCTCTCTGAGCCTCAGGACCGACAATTAAAACTTCAGTTTTGTCCTGGTTAAGCTGTAAAAAGTTTTCTGCCATCCAAGATCGTATATCTAAGATACAGTTAAAAAGGGCATCCATTGGTCTGGTGTCATCAGGAGACACGGAGATGTACAGCTGCGTGTCATCAGCGTAACTGTGGAAGTTCACTCCATGCCTCCTGATGACACTGCCGAGAGGGAGCATATACAAATTAAAAAGTACGGGGCCTAGAACCGACCCTTGAGGCACACCACATGTCATTCTATGGATCTTAGAGGAGCATGTATCCATACTCACCATAAAAGATCTGTCAGAGAGATAGGAAGTGAACCAGTTATGTACAGCACCAGAGAGGCCCACCATGTGTTTCAGTCTGTTTAAAAGAATAGCGTGGTCTACTGTATCAAAGGCTGCGCTTAGATCCAGTAGCACCAGGACTGAGAGCTTTTGGGAGTCCCAGTTACATCTAAGATCATTTAAAACCTTTAGGAGAGCCGTCTCTGTGCTGTGGTTCACCCTAAATCCAGACTGGAATATCTCCAGGATCTGTCTATCATTGAGAAAATCAGTAATCTGAGTAAAAACAAGTTTTTCTAAGACTTTACTTAAAAATGGTAAGTTGGATACAGGTCTGTAGTTATTAAAATCATTACAATCCAAATTGCTCTTCTTCAGAAGGGGCCTCACCCCCGCCGTTTTAAAGGCAGCAGGGAAGACACCCAACTGAAGAGAGCAATTCATCATGTATAAAAGCTCAGCCTCAAAAAATCCATAAAGTGTTTTAAAGAGTGAAGAAGGGATTGGATCTAAAAGACATGTGGTGGGTCTCACTGTGGAGAAAACTTTCTGAAGGTTCTCAGCATTAACCAGGACAAAGCTGTCCAGTGTCTCCTCAGGTACAATCGAGCCATCAGATGTGTTTACAAACATATCGCGATTAGATAAAATATCAGATCTGATGGCGCTGATTTTTCCCCTGAAGTGGTCTGCAAACTGCTCACAGAGTGAGTCTGTGGGGTTCTTTGGGAGCTGTTAAAATCAGGGTTAAATAAATGATCTATGGTGGAAAAGAGGACCTTGGGATTATTTTTGTTATTACTGATTATTTTGGCGAAGTATGAATTTCTTGAGTTCCTTAATGTATTATTGTACATTTTAAGTTGCTCGCAAAATATTTGATGGTTGATTGTCACGGTCCTGGGTCTTATGACCCAGTGTTTTGAGTTTCAGTTCTTTTGATGTTCATAGTGTATGTTTAAGCTTATCAGGTTTCCTAAGTTTATTTGTTATCATGCCTAAGTGTTTCTAGTTCTTATTATTTCCCCCTCGTGTTCCAACTATGTTAAATCTCCCTTGCCCTTCGTGTGTTTCATGTCTGTTGTCTTATGTTGTTATGTCTGCCTCTCATGTTCCTGTTTCATTTTGGAGAGATCTCGTGTTTTTATATTATGGATTATGTTTTGAGTCCTTTGTGGTACTGTTTCGTGTTTCCCTAGATCTCAGTTATGGTTATCTTAGGTTTTGCTCTTTGGCTTCGTCATATGGCTTCCCTGTGTTCCATGTTATGTCCACTGTGATGGTTTTGTACCATATTTCAGGTTCCTATATTCTGTCTCCCCAGTTGCTGTTAAGTTTGCATGTTTAGAATTCAGTCAGTGTGTTTCCTGTTTTACTTTGAGGTCCATGTCTCATGTGAGTGTTTCTAGTTTTGCTTCCCTTGCCTCGTCCTGCTTTATTACCCTCAGCTGTTCCTCCATGTGTTCCCACTTCCCCTAATCACCTCCTGTGTATTTAAGTCCTCTGTTTTCAGTGTGTGATTGTCAGGTCGTCTGTTGTCCACGCCATGTTTCCTATGCCATGCTTCCAAGTTTCTTGTCTAGGTTTTTCTTATTGTTTGTTTAGATTTCCCAGTTTAGGTTTGTGTTAATTTTGCTTCAGTTTGCCTTGCCCTTTGTTTGTACCTTTTTTACCAGCCATATTAAACGGCTTGCTTTTTGTTAACATTAAAGTTTTGTTCCCTGTTCCTTGGAGGTCTGCATTTTGGGTCCTTTTTCAATTCATACAGTCTGCCCTCGCCAGACTGTGACAGTTGATAGTATTTTTATTTTTCCTCCACCTCCTTTCTGCTGCCCTGACTCCGGGGGCGTAGTGGTGGAGATGGCGCAGACCTCAGCAACACAGCGGGATGGCGAGGGCTAGCGGTCAGAGGAGGAAAGTCCACAGGATCCAGGACATTGAATTTATTCTCCAGTACTACCGCGCCGGAGGGGTGAGGGTGCGAGAGACGGATCCTCCTGCCCCCTCTGCAGCCACCACGCGTCTCAGCCACGGTCCATGGCGCTGGTTGGAGTGGAGTGGAGCTGACCAGAGCCTTGTGTCTGGCCCCTAGCTGAAACCAGGAGTTCTCGTCCATCCATGCGTGGCTGACTGTCCGTCCCGTGCACTGGTTTCTCCTGTTTATGTCGGCATAGACTTTGACGCTATGGCCGCTGACCAGCGTGCCGACCCGGACGTCCTTGCTCTGTGGTCTGCGCAAACGGGCCTTGTACTGAAGGACGTTTCGTTTCGGTCCCCCCACCGACATCACCTCAGACAGGGGCCCCCAGTTCTTTTCGGAGCTTTGGTCTGCCATGGCTGATGGCCTGGGGGGTTAAGGTCCACCAAACCACTGCGTACCATCCGCAGGCCAACGGGATGTGCAAGCATTTCCACCAGTCGCTTAAGGCCGTGCTCCGTGCTTCTCTTACAGATGGCAACTGGGTTGACCGCCTTCCGTGGGTTTTACTGGGGTTGCGCTGTGCGGTTAAAGAAGACCTCGGAGTTTCCCCGGCTGAACTTGTCCACGGCCAGCCCTTCCGGGTCCCCGGGGAATTCTTGCCCGAGAGCCTGCCCCGTGCTTCGATCCCTCTGTGCTGTTTCTCTGTCCCCCAAGAGACTCGTTTTCTGTTCCTGGCCCAGTGCACCATTGTGTGCCCGTCACTTTTGTTCCGAGGTTGTTGCAGTTTGTTTTCGTCAGGCATGACGCTCATAGGCCTCCGCTGCGTCCACTGTATGAAGGCCCGTTTAGGGTTATTCAACCGGGCTGGAAGCATTTCCTTTTGGACTTTGGGGGTCAGCAGGAGGTTGTTTCCAATGACAAACTTAAACCGGCACATGTTCTTCTGGATGATCAGGTGGTGCCGGCCCAGGCCCCCCGCCGTGGCCACCCGCCTTCCATTGGACTGGACAACTCTGCTTCTTCCCCCACCTGGCGGGGCCCGAGCTATCTTCAGCTTTTCCTGACTGCCCATGCCAGAACTGGACTGAAAATCAGTGTCAACAGGTTTTACGAAGTGATTAACCCTCTGGGGTCCAGGGTATAATTGGCCGTTTTTGACCACTTTTGATTTTACCTCTATATTTCACCTTTAAAATATGTTTTTCTTGCCTTGTTTGGTATCATTATTTTCAGCACAACCTCAAATATCTGAAA